TCTCCGAATTCGCCAACACGAGCGCGCCAAAAAGACCCACGAGCCGTTAGGCCGGAGCCCGCAGCTGCCAATGCAGCCCATCGGCCTCTGTGCCACAGCGAGCCAGGGGAAGAAATCCTGGGGCAGGAGGGAGAAAATGCAGGAGGCCAGAGGCCACGCTGAGGGACGTCACGCCTGGCTCAGAACTAATGGGACAGAGCCGGCCCTGGGGTAACCCCACTGATCTCACCGGCCTTAGGGCAGGAGAGAACTAGGCCCACTGACCAATTTGCCCCAACGCAACAGCCCTTTGAGGTGGGTGTGACGAGCCCCCATGTCGCAGAGGGGGAAACCGAGGCCCGGAGTGTGGGGGGGGGGAGTAAGTGGTTCAGGGTCACCCAGCGACTCTGCTGCCAGCTGGGCTGGGTGGGGCCACCTCTCACTGCAAAGCCAAGAGATATGGGGAGGATCCAGCCCCCAACTCTGCCTTCACGTGGGCACCTCCCTACCCCAAATGCTCCAGCCCTGATGCCTTAGTTCCTTCCCCACCTCAGCAGGGCCACCCGGCCCCAGCTTCCTCCAGGCTCGGTGCTACTCGGCCAGATCCGACCCTTCTCCCTAAGCCAGTGCTGAGTCCCCATCCCTGTCAGCTCTTCCTCAGCCCCGTCCCAACCGCCCCCCGCCCTTCCTGCTCCCCCCACCCCGTTCAGGCAACCTGCCTCCCAGACGTGGGCCGAGCCGAACCGACCCTGCTCCAAAGCTTCCCAGGCCAAGGCAGAGGACTGGAGCGGAGGAGAGCGAACACACGGCAGAGGAGGGGAGGGAGACAGAGCAGGGGGAAGGAGAGAGGGAAGGGGGCCAAGGACTTCAGAGGAGGGGGATCACGTCTCCAGCGACCCAGGCCGAGTCCCTGCTTCCCAGGCTGAGGTGTGTCGTCAGCCCAGACCCCTCCCCAGCTGTCGCCCCCTTGCAGGAACGCTGCCAAGCTGCAGCTGCTGACCCAGAGGGGGCGACGTGCTGGGAACCCTGCAGGGTGCGGGCTAGAGGCGTCGTCCCCACGCTAATCGGGGCGGTGTGGGCCATGCATGGGAACGGGGCAGGGACTGTGAGTTGGGGGGCAAGGGAGACACGGGCCCTATGATCATCCCCACCCCACCTCACCTGGGGGGTCAAACAAACTCCTCCCACCCCCCCAGCTCCGTCCAGGCACCATCCAGCCCCCCCCGGGGTCCGGCCCGAGAGGCACCTGTGACCCAACTCTACGGGAGCTGGAGCGTCACGGGCCCAGAGGAGTGGGGGGCTTGATGCTGGAGGTGATCGGTACTTACAGCACTGGGAGCCGGGCACGGGGAGCGGTTTGTCCTGCTCCTCCTGGAACTCGTACTGGGGAGAGAACAGAGGGGTGGTCACAGGCATCCCGGCCAGGCAGTCTCCGGCCCTCCCCCCCGGCCCCGCAGCCCTTCAGGGGGGTGACGATAGACTCCCAGGGCACTCAGTGCAGATCCCCGTGGGACGTCCCCCTGGTCCTGTCTCTGCCAGTGAGGCCCTGGCATGCTCGCCCAGCCAGGCACCACCTGAATGCACCCAAGCCAGCAGTGCCGGGGGAGGGGGGAGCTGTGAACTCACACAGGGGATCAGGGCCGGCAGGGGGTGCCAGGCCCCAGGGCTCACTTACATCATCCTGATCCTTCATAGCATTCAGCTGCTCCAGCTTCTTCGCCCAGTACCTGGCCTCCTCCTCGGGGATGTCTGAAAGCAGAGAGGCCCCCTTGCCAGCAGCCCGTGGGGTCTCCGCGGCCCGGCCCCTCCCTCCCAACGCCGCCCCTGGGGCCCTGCACACGGGGGCCCAGCTCTGGGTCATGGCGCCAGCCTCTGGCTTGGCCTGCAGCTGAGCAGAGGATGGCGAGGAGAGGCAGCCAGTGCTGGGGGCGGGGAAATGGATCTGTGGGGCAGGGAGGGAAGGGGGGTGGCAGGGCTGGGCCAGAGGTGAGCAGGAACCAGGGCTCCCAGCTCCAGCCTGCGGGGGTGGGAGTGGAGTTGGGGAGCCCCACACCCTGATCGGCTCCTCACCGGAAGGGAAAGGAGGGTGGAGGGGTGGAGCTGGTAGGTCGGGCACATGGCGTGAGGGAGGGGAGCCAGGAAAGGACTGTGATGATGCCCCTCAGTCCCGACCTGCAGCCCCCTGCTATCCCAGCCCTGGGCTCGTCCCACAGCTCTGCCAGTGCCCCTCAATCCTGAATCACAACCCCCATTGCGTTTCCAGTTGTGGGGCCCCCATCTCTGTCAATCCCCCTTCATCTACACAGCTGGGGTGTGAGGAGGGAAATATCCCCAAGGAGGGAGAACCCCGGGCACATGACGGGGATGGGGGCACAGGCCAGGAGCCCTTCTCGCCCCCTGGCCCTGGGGAGGGTACCGTACCGAGCGGTAACTCGAAGCGGGTGTCCAGCAGGATGCGGTGGAAGGTGGGGTCCTTGGTGCCAGAGATCTCGTTGTCGGTCATGATGACCTGGGAGTCGAGGGTGAGCCATTCCCCGGGGCCCTCCTGGGGAGAGAACTGGGGGGTCAGGACAGACGCCAGGGGAACGAAGCCCTGCTTAGATTCTCCCAGCCTGGCAAATAACCCAGCCATGCTCCCCTGCTCTGGCCCTTTCATGGGGCTAAGCCTCACAGCTCTATGTGCCGGGGGAGGGTCTGTTACTGGCGGGGGGAGGGGGGGAACGGAGGCACAAGGGGAGCAGCGATTTCCTGAGCCAGGAATGGAACCCAGGAGTCCTGAGTCCCAGATCCCTGCTCCCCCTCCTGCTAGCAGCCATAGCGAAGAGCTGTGCTGTCTGGACAGCCACGTCCCCTCCACCCGCCCCCTGCCTCGAGCTCCCCTTCAGGAGAGGACGATTTGCGGCAGTGCCAGGTCATGGAGCTCCTCCCTGCCCGCAGGAGCAGTGCCAGGGCAGGGAGGCTAAATCCCCAGCCTGCCCCACTGGCGCGAGCGCCAATCGCCGGAGGGGACACAAGGGCTTGGTACACAGGCTCATCATTAACCCTTTGCACTCTGGAGACCCCTCCTCCCCCCCCAGCCTTGTTTTCCTCCCAGCTGCTGGAAGAGAACCCCAAATCCCCCAGGCTGACCCTCCCCACCCCCAAGCAGGCCCTTCCCGCATGTCTCCAGGCACCACCCGCCTGGCTCTGCCAGGATGTGCCCTGGGGGTTAGGAGGAGGCTGAGCCTTGGCACAGGAAGGGGACTTGGGGGTCCAGGGGACGGGTGGCTCTTCCAGGGCACTGGTCCCTCCTCCCCGCAGACACAGACCCTCCCCTCGCTCCACCCCCAGAAGGCCGGCAGGTGGCGATGCCCAGTCCGGGCTCCGAAGGGCAGAGAGCCAGGAAGGTCCGGGAGTGGCTGCTGTCTGGGCCCTGCTGGGGAGAGTGCCCCGTGCCTACCTCGTTGGACTGCCGGATGGTCTGCAGGGGGATCCACACTGTCCCCACCATGGTGTCCCAGATTAGCCCCTTGTTCCACACCTCCACCGTCAGCCCCAGGTCCAGCCGGTTAATCTCACTGCAAGGGAAGCAAAGCGACCACGTGCCCATCAGCTCTGGCCCCGTCTGGCTCGCTGCCTCTCCCACGACCCTGGGCAGGCTGGCCCCCCGTCCCCATCGGGCCCCACATATGAGTGAGCTCATGCCACAGGGCTGGGAGTCAGTGCTCTTGCCCCACTCCCCACAGCGCCCCCTGCTGGGAGAGGTTGGGACTGGGAGAGCTGGGAGCCCCCCTGAGTCAGCGCTGGAACACGGCAGCAGGAGGTTAGGTAGACAGTGCCAGCTCCCAAGATTGCACTAGCTGTGACTTGTCATCTAGACACAGCACAGCTCTGGAAATTGTGTCTGTGAGTTAACTGTGGGGGGGAGGGGCACTTTTTCCTTTGGTAGGTCCTACAAAAATGTTTGAATTTCCCAGCATCCGAGGCGTGAGTTTAACACAAGCCAACATTCTTCCGAATCTCCTCCCACTTCACTGCGTAGAAGTCAGAGTCTCCCTCTGTCGGAGGATCCCGCTTCCGAGCAAGGACGAATCTGGAGCTGCCAACGGTTTGACCCTTGTCACTTTAATCTCCTGCGGGAGTGTTTAGCCTGAGACGGGAGCGTCACTCGAGTGCCGGTAATTAGGGCCCATTGCTGAGTCCCGGCTGTGTCTGCAGCGGCCCAGCCTGCAGCCCCCCGGCCCCAGTCTGGGCCGCGCTCGTGTCTGATGTTTTAAGCAGATGGATGCAAAATGAGGGAGCAAAGGGGAGAGGCGGTTTCCTGCCACGTGGAGCAGCCCGGTCCCTT